GAAAGGCTGGGCATTGGAACCCACCCAGTGGCTCCGAGAAAGACCTGGTGATCTGTTCCCTTAAAGAAAACCCTATGGGGCAGTTCTGCTCTGTCTCATGGGATCACTGTGAGTCAAAATTGACTTGACAGCACCCGACAGCAACAGAGTGTGATAAGCTCAAATACCAGACAAATGTAAAACAGTTGCTGTCCAGTGAAATAGCTTTTAGGCAGTTAACAACAGCAGAAAATAATCACATTTATTCATTTAGCACATACTTTGCGGGTATCTTCTACAGATACATCACTGAATATTTTGAGAGGTAGAAGACTATCTGTATAAGAAGCAATCCTCAATCTAAGTAGCTTACCTAAACCCTCTTATCCTTATTATAGCTACCTGTGTTGTTTCCAGACAGTAGATATAACAGTATTTTAATGGACTATTAAGTACATCCAAAGAGTATTTGTTGGCTTTGACTGATTGGTAATTTGTACTGTTTATTATTGTTTCTGAGGCTAGTTATTTTTTAATTTAATGCACTGTTGTTCTCTGTCTATAGGGCTGGGAACAAATTTGATGAATTCTTTCATTTGTACTTTTCATTCAGCAGACATTTATTAGGTATGTGCTATATTCTAGGCCCTCCAGTAGCCACTGGGGTTACCTTGCTGAGAAAAACAAGCTATGGCTCTAACCTCATGGAGCTTGCAATCCAGTAAAGGAAATAACTATTAATTTTTTTTAAATCACCCAAATAAATATTAAATTGCAACTGTGATAAGTGGTAGAGAATAGAAGAACGTGGTACTGTAAGAGTTTAGGAGAGAGGGCTTCATAGATAAGAAATTATGAGATCCTAAATGAAAATAGTGTTCAAAACATTGAAATCTTCATCTCATTAAAAAGAGTGATAGTTTGGCTTATGCAGTAAGCTTTAAGGATCTGTACATAATTGCCTGACCCTACTGTAGAAAAAAAATAATGACACAGGAAAAGATCCCCATTATTCGTATGGGATCAGGTATCTCGATTATAGCAGTCCCTGAGTGGCACAGACGGTTGAGTGCTAGACTGTTAGCTGAAAGGTTGCCAGTTTGAACCCACCCAGAGTCACCTCGGAAAACAGGCCTGACGATTTGCTTCTGAAAGGTCACAGCCTTGAAACCTAATGGAGCAGTTCTACTCTGCCCACATGGAGTAACCATGAGTCAGAATTGACTTGACAGCAACTGACAACAACAACAATCCCAATTATATGAGTAAACGTGTCCTTCTCTCTCCCCATACCATTGGGGATACTGGCCAGCTGTGAAAGAGTGTCTTTGTTGTCACTGTTCCTCGAGGGCATGGCCAGTGGTTTTCCTCTATAGAGCTTGTACCCGGAGTGAATTCCATATTGGGCGTTTTGCTGCTGCTGCTGGTGGTGGTAGTGGTTATGGCTAAGAGCAGTTCTGCTTTGTAACAAATGGGGTCACCATGAGTCAGAATTGACTCAGCGGTAATGGGTTTGTGTTTTTGTATTTTTTTGTTTTTTTTGTGGTGATGGTTAGTTATATTTTTGAAAACTACTTTTAGAATTGAGTGTTACATGGTCTAATTTATAACATACAACTATAAAAAAAGATTGAGCCATAAGTGTTCAGAAATATTCTCAATGGATTCTAAGTCCTCATTTAAATAAAAAATGCCAATTTTAGCTTATACCAGAAATCTTAAAACATGCATTCGGTTTTTATAAACAAAATCAATTATAGTACCTAGTTGAGTTATTTTAAGTTATTCATGTCCTGCCCTTTGAAGGTTTTTCAAATATTTCTAACAAGTAAGGCCAGGAGGAATGTATATTCTTGTTTTTAGGGATTTTGAAAAGATATTTACATGTGTTTTTGTATGTCTTCAAACTGCCAAAATTATTCTGAATGGATTGCACTTAAATTACTATTGTCGTAACTGAGTGATCGGTATTCATGGTTGACTTTGAAAGGATTTTTTGACCCTTGGTTTTAGGATTTTGAAGTTGTTTTTAACTAACTCGACTGTCCTTGGAGGTACACTTAAAATTTTTTTAAACAAATTTGTGCAGAACTAAAGTTTTAATAAAGTTGTTTTTCATTCACATAGTGCCTGCTCTCAAATGAGGCTAAAACTGTCTCTAAAGAATGTTCTTGTACTTACGCCAAGAAGCTTCTGGGATGGGCATATTTTTAAGAACTTAGAACATAAACAACTGTGATCTGTGGCAGATTTAAATGACCTCCTGATGACAGTGAGAACAAGGCCTTTTTAAGTTACCGTTGTGGTGTGTTAATTCACTGCAGTGTATTTGTGACACTACTATTTTGATGTATTTAGTGAGAGCCAGGCAAAAAAATTATAGAATATATTTAACTGAAGATATTATTTCTTTATTGTTGTAAACAAGCTAAATACCAAAAATACACTATTTACTGACAGCAAACTTTATAAATTATTCTAGAGCTGTAGGTCCTTTTTTTTTTTTTTTTAATCACATGAGCCACTTTGAGATAATGACCATTTATTTAGATCTGATTTCATTTAGTTTTGATTCATTTTCTGTTGGATAGAATATGTTCCAAACATGAGAGATGGAACAGTTGGCTTGAAATACGAATCCCTCCTTCAAGACTGATCAATTAAGTGTTAAGTATTTACTTTGTATCTGGCACTATGCTAACCACTGTGGAATACAAAAGAAGGAGACTTTAAACTGCTTTTTTCTAGATGGAAGAAAAGGCATACACAGTTGAAACTTTTAAAATAGAAAAGACATTTTATAACCAAGTACCAAATAAAATAACACATCAGCTTTGTGGTACAAATAATAAATGGTCCTTCTTTTCAGAAATAATATCTAATCATTGTCCAGAACAGTAGTTCTCAACCAGGGCTGATTTTGCCCCCAAGGGAATATTTGACACTATACGGCAATATTTTTTATTGTCATGACTAGGGAGTGCTAATGACATCTAGGGAGTGGAGGCCAGAGATATTGTTAAGTATCCCATAATGCACAGGATGGCCCCTCACAACAAAGAATTATCTGATCCAAGATGACAATAGTGATAAAGGTGAGAAACCCTAATATAGAACCTACGAACTTCAATTTGAAGTTATGGGAGATTGACTCCACTCTGTCCCAAGACTTTTCAGCCCCTGTAAAGTTTCCTTGCCTAAGGTCCTTGGATCCTTACACAGAGATGAGCATCGGGTACCCGCAACCCCTGTGAACACTGCATGGAAGTTTTTTCAGTACAGTGTTCCAGGGAGAAGTGTCCATAGCCTTTATCCAATTCTTAAAGGATCCATGTCCCCCCAGAAAAGTCAGGACTCACATATGGAGTAGAAGTTTATAGCCATAAAGGCACATCAGACCAGTAATCTAGTCACCTTAAACAGTAACAGCACAGAGCCGTCCTTAATATCTAGCGCAGCTAGAGGTAGAGTTTTAAATTTCAAGCGTCAAAATTAATCAGAAAATACTTTTTGCTGAAAAAAAATCTAAATTTTAATTTAATATTTTGAAGTAATCAAATCTTAACACATGAAGAAATTTATAGTAGAATACCTTGAAGATTATCAGTCTAAACATTAAATCTAATGATCCAATAACAGTGCTTTTAGAAATTGACACTGGACTGATTGTGTGCTGACCAACAGACGTATTTGAATTGATTTATTCCATTATTTGAAATCAGCTTGTTTTATCACGATTTGCCACTTTCTCCCAAACATGGAGAGAAAGTCGAATTGAAATTGTACTATACATTAATGTGAGGATTCCAGTTCACATCTCCTAGATTCTGTTTAACTCTTGATTCAGTCAGATCCAGACATGGTTTTGCATACTCCACATTTCTCCTGAAAACTGTTTAGTAAAATGGATTATGTTTTCTTATAAGAAACGTTTTATATTTAAGAGTTGTGTTTCTGATTTGACAACCAATAAATTAGAGGTTCTGCCAGCAGTATGTCATAAAAACAAATCTTCGTAACCTTGTATGTGCATATAATTTAATACTTTTCCAAGTCGTAGAAATTTGGAGATTAAGTCTTGATGTGAAAGCCAAGGAAGGGACCATAGAGATCATCTATTCCAGCTTTTTCAACTGTTTTTTTTTTTTTTTTTTTTGATGCTCAGAGCTCTCCATCCCCTCTTTAATCCAAGCAGCACTGCTTCTGGTTGTTTTATGTATTTGAACTTCCATAAAATATTTTATTTGAAGAAAAAAGGTTCCTCTTTACAATAAAGGTGTGTGTGGGAGTGAGGATTTGCATGCTTCTGATCAAGACTAAGCTCACTTTTAAATAAAGAACCTGAGGCCCAAAGCATTCAGATTTTTTTTTTGTTGGCTCTATTCTGTCAGCTGGAAACGCTGTGGCATACTGGTTAAGAGCTCAGCTGCTGACCAAAAGGTTGGCAGTTTGAATCCACCAGGCTCTCCTTGGAAACCCTATGGGGCAGTTCTGCTCTGTCCTATAGGGTCGCTATGAGTCGGAATCAACTCGCCAGCAACAGAGTTGGTTTTGGTTTGTTCTGTCAGCCACACCAGCAATTCTGACGTATCTGGTAATTGGATGGTGGATAACTAGGAGTTCAGATTCCAGTTGTGCAGCTTCCTAGCTGCATATTCTCAGGCAAGGTGCTAAATGTCTCCGAGTCTCAGTATCCTTATCAGCAAAAAGATTAATTATAATATCCTTAGAATTGTTTTTGCTTTCTTAGAATTTAGAGTTTATCTGGGAAAATGATCTTGATTACCCAAGTCTTTTTAAAAAGAGCATTTCGAACCACTGCGTTAATTATTTTTGTAATGGATTTTGTATTATTTAAATATTTGAAGTCCTCCCTCCCTCAACACAACCCTGTCCTCCAAAGAAATACTAAACAATAAAATATAGACATCTTTATTATTAAAGGGGACATAGTAAATTACATTTTTAAATGAATGATGATATATCATTTTTGTAACTAAACTATGTGGGTTTTTCCTCAGGTCTTAAAGAAAGTGCAGAAGAGATGGTCAAAAACAGATTGGAAGGAAAAGATAAACTGACCCCTTGGGAACAATTTTTAGAGAAGAAGAAAGAGAAAAAAAGACTGAAAAAGAAACAAAAGGTATCAGTAATAATTATGAGCAAATATTGTTAAACACCAGCCATGTATCAGAAGGTGTCAAGAGCTTGGCATCCATTACCCTGTAATGTAACCCACTTACTAGAGTAGACCTTGTTATCATCACAATTTTAAGAAGGAGGAAAGTGAGAACCCAATAGGTTGAGTACTTTCTGCAAGGCCACACAATTGTGTACAAAGCTTGGTAGAGCCCAGAGCCACTTTAATCACCACGCTCTAATAGTTTACATTCACATGCTGCTTAGATAAAATACATAGTTGATATCTAGGATGTAAAATAGTATGATTCTATTATTTGTTTTTGCAGAAGAGAGGTGCATACAGACTTTTTTACCTGAAGATACATGCACATAGAAGTTTTTAATGTGAATGAGATTATGCTATACGTTTCTATTCCTCAGCCTGCATTTCTTGCTTTTCATTATTAGATAAATCTCTTACCATCTTATTAAGATGAGGATGTCCTTTTACTTTCTGCTTAGCCTTAGTAAATTATAAAATGTCATAATGTTAGATTATTTAATATAATTTTATGTGACTAGTTGCTGTGTTGTCCAATTTAGACTATTTTTATTTGTAGCAAGTTTTATGCAGCCAGTTTATGTTAATTGAAAAAAAATTATGGCTTTTGGTATAAAAATTTATAATTAAATCCTTTTTTCCCCCAGAGGAATATTGCCTCTGCGCTAATACTGTACCTATGGAAAATCTGATTTGACCCACATTATTCAGGGGATAACATCTTTTCCCGAGCTAGAGTCCCCAGTAATAGCAGAGACCACCTATGGTTTTCATCAATAAAAATACTTCTACTCCTGTCAGTGAAACGCAGCATTCTGTTACAGTCATTGCCGTAAGATGGTATCACTGATAATCACAGAATTTTAGAACTTGAGAGATTTTAAATGATTAATTCTAGTCCAACCCTATTGTTCTATAGTTGTAGAAAATTAAATGACTCATCTGAGATTACACTGCCTGTTAGTGACTAGGCTGGAACCAGAATCCACGATGTCTCTGTCCAGTGTTCTTTCTACTGTACCATGTTGTTTCCCTGTATACTCTATAACTTGTAACGCTTTTGTTACAGCTATGTCTTTTAGTGATCGTAAAGATAGAGGGCTGCAAAATTGGATGATGCAATGGAATAATTTTTGTACTTCTATTGTAGTCTATTTTTCTGGAAATGGATAGTAAAATGGGGAAAGAAATAAAATATGCTACCTGTCCTTCTTCCCTAGAACTATTTTTTAAACAAATTAGACAGTACAATCTTTTAAATGTAATAATTTCACAAGTAATTAAGCCATTAGTTTATCTGAAGACTTTAAGGTTGGTCTTTATGAGGTTAACCAAAGTAGTCACTTATTTCTGAGACCTTTAGCAGCTATTTTGCTGGTTTACTTTTTCTAGGAGGTTTGATTATCTAATGCTTTTACTCTTTCCCTTCCTTGGGAGAAAGGCTGGACTGGTTTTATCAGCATTCAGAATACATTTGTTGAGTACCCAGCATGTTCTAGCCTCAGTGTTCTGTACTAAACTTGATGACTCCAGCAGTTCCCTTCTAAACTCCATAGGTCCTCTGTATATAAGAGGAGTTTCAAGAATTTTCTTCAAGTTAAAAACACTTTTGCCTTTTTTTCATTTTCAGTGACTTCGGTTTTAATATTGAGAAATTATTACTGAAGAAATGAATACATGTTTGTGTGTTGTGGTATTTAGTATTTTGATATAGCTATAGTTTATAAGGAGACCCGATGACATAGTGGTTAAGAACTCAGACTGCTAACCAAAAAGGTAGGCAGTTCAAATCCACCAGCCGCTCCTTGGAAACCCTATGAGGCAGTTCTTCTCTGTTCTGTAGGATCGCTATATAGTTTATAAAAGGAGACTTGGTGGTGCAGTAGTTAAGCACTTGGCTGCTAACCAAACGGTCAGCAGTTCAAACCCACCAGCTGCTCCGCAGGAGAAAAATGTGACAATCTGCTTCTATAAAAATATACAGTGTTGGAAACACTATGGGGGCAGTTCTGCCCTGTTCTGCAGCGTCTCTGTGAGTTGGAATTGACTCGACAGCACTAGATTTTAAAGAAGTAAGTCAGATATATAAGTATTCCATAAAATTCTTTGTTAAAAACATCATGTTACTATAAACCCATTATAATACTTTGGTGAAAAAAATTCTGACAAGCACTTGTTCTGAAAGGGATATTAATGTCAAAATGAATATTCTTTAGGGCTTGGTTGGTCTTCTTGAGCATGAAGGCTGCTGTTTAGCAATATCCATTCTAAACTTTTTTGTTTTAATGATTTTGAGATGTTATAGATTGCTGGGGAGAAGTTTCAATTCAGTTAGTCGGCTCTTAGTGCACATGTGTTCTATTAATTTTATAGGCTTGATTTTTTTAATTTGAATATACTGATTTACTAAGTAGACAGTGTGTTCAGATTTGATTAGGGAAATTTAACCAATAAATTTGCTTTAAAATAACCAAACAGGTTTTGAGAGTGGGTTACTGTTGAAACTGGATCGTGGAAACAAAGGTGTATTATACTGTCCTTACTACTTTCATATATGTTTAACATTTTTCAAATTAAAAACCTTTTTAATTAACCGGCAAATAAATTGTTTTAAATAATAATTCAGAAGATAACCCACAATATATTACTTCAGGCTGTTGGCAGTCACGTCCATTTCTCTGTTTTATGTGAGGTAAGGCTACCTCTTTTCACTGATCACAAATCTAAAAGTAATCTCCTTTGAATGTCTGTATCTCTTTGTCTCTTCAAGCACTTCCTGTCTTAAATTATTATCTACATGTCTCTGTGTCTTATTTCCTTTAAAAAATTGTTAAATTTTTCAGGGCAGCAACCATGGATCTGGTAACTTTCATTTCTTCTAAAAGTCCTGTATGGTTTCCTGTATTTATTAAGTGTTTCATAAATATTTGAACAAACAAAACAGTGGCTTAGATAGTAGTTATTTTCCAAACCATTGAAAAACTGATTTAATTTTAAATTGAACTGCTTGATTTAAATGTATATGATTTATTTTTTACATGTATATATTATAATCCTTATACTAATGAAACTGTATTTTTCATATTCAATTTGAAGGCTCTTGCTAAAGAGACCAGTGAAGATGAATTGCCCTCCGATGTGGATTTGAATGACCCATACTTTGCTGAAGAAGTTAAAAAAATGGGTAAGCCAGCCCATATTTAGAATTTCCAATTTGAATGTAAGGAAAAAAAGTTGACATGGGTAGAAGCAATATAAGCTAGTCCTGTAAAAATACCTAGAATTTATATCGCTCCCTTATTGGCTTATAAGTAGGTCTGTCCTGTGGGGGATAATTGTTGATAGATTGGAAGAGTTACCATGTCCCTGTACATACAGGAGTAATGTCTTTGTAGGAGGCCCTTAGTAACATGGTTAATTTAACAGTTTCCTGGGGGTTCCTTTCTGGGAAATATCTGTATAGAAAACCGGATTGACTGTCTAAGACAATGAGAGTAAATACAAAGAGTAAATAGTCATCTTGTGTGCTTTCACTGATTTTTTTTTTTTTTTTAATAAAACATCCACTCTAGGACTGTCTTTGCAAAGGCTATGAAGAATTAAAAGTGTGAAATGAATTTGTTTATGTTTTTGTAGATGTGTGTATAAATTTAATTTTTTTAAATTTATACATCATATTAATATAAAAGCTTTTTCTGCCCAAATACACAAAGGCAACTGTATGATTGTATCCCTTTTGCATTTATCCTGCTTCATTATAGGTAAAAGCCAGCTTTTCTCTTACTTCCCATTTTCCTTAGATCTCTAAACTATCTGGTATCCAGTTTCCTATATCCATGGAGCCTTATTTCCATTGCTTATGCACCATTTACCCCCATTCTTTCTTCAGTGCTTTCATTCTTCCTTTTTGGTATGTGTAAATGTGAGTGGTAGGGCCTAAGCCATACTTGGACAAGGCCATGCAGAGACCACTGTAAACATTTTCCATTTGTTCTCGTCTTTATACCACACACATGAACCCCAAAAGACTTGCTCCTGGAGCAACTTTAAGCTGGCATTGTAAAGAGAAGGGTTTTGTAAAGTTTCTCTGCTTCTTGTCTCTCGTGACTACTGGGCCAGAATAGTTCTCAACAGGAAAGTCAGAATTGCTCAAAATTATTTCCTGGTTGTTGTAGGCTTTAAGCACTGACATTTTATTGATGAAAAAGAGATCAAAATGAATAGTCTATTGTAGGATGTGAGATTCTTGAGAATTGGAAGGGGAAATGGAAACTTTAACATATTCTGCTTTTTGTCATACCTGAGTGTTCATTTCTAAAACATGATGGTTTTTAGCCTTATCCTCTGATTTCAGGAAACCAAGTTTATAGTGGAGAAATGTGAAGCATTAGAGTTTCCTTGTTCTCATTCCAAAGTGCTCCATTTGGCATGTGAAATCTGGTCAGATTACAGAACTCAGAGTAGAATTAGAAGAATAAGTTAAATGGTTTGATGGTTTAGGGTAGCCTGTTTCTTGGAATAGGCGCATTTAAATTGTGAATAAGCTTTGTGCAAAGTTAGTATCAGAAGTTCTGAGGGAAGAGGGATAGGAAAAATTAGCTTGCTTTCAATATACATTTTATTTCAGAATACTTTCTAGGAGTAAATGCTTATATTTGGGCTTAAGCTATTTTTCAAAAAGGAATAAGAGAAGTCAGAAAAGCCTGAGAGTTTTGTACATTAAAAAATTAGGACCAAAAGAAATGGTGTCTTGCAAGTTTGTTTATTCGTTCTATCAATAAATATTTTAAATACATACCAGGTGCTGGGCATTCTGCTAGGCTAGAGATACAGCAGTATTAAAACAAGCAAGTTGCATCCTATAGGAATTTCTGTGCATTTAGGGAAGACAGATGCTAAACAGGTAAACAAATAAGAATTTTGTCAGGATATGGTACAGGCTTTGAAGGAAAGAAATAGGGCAGTATGGAATATATAACTGGGCGGAAGAAGGGGGTAAGGACGTTTATTTTAATAGGATAGGCAAAGAAGGCTTTTCTGAGGTGAGACATGTAGAATGAGTCAGGCATGAAGAGCTGGGAAAAGAGAATTGCAAATGAAGCAGAAGTGGGTAGAAAGGCTGAGAAAGAACTTGTTGAAAAAATTGAAAGACGCCAATGTGGCTGTTGGCGTGGTGGAACAGGGAATTTGGTATGAGGTACAGCTGGAGACACAGGCAGGAACAGACCATGCATGGCCTTGTCATGGCAACAGATTTGGATTTTACTCTACAGACAGTGGGAGCCACTGAAGAATCTTTAAGCAGGGATGTGACTTGATCTGATATATATTTTAATAGATTACTCTGGTTCCTGTGAGGAGAAAAGATTAAAGAAAGGCATTCGTTAGAGCTGGGAAGTGAGGCTTTTGTAGAGGTCTCGACAAGAGACAGTGGTAGTTTAGACAGCACGCCAGTAATGGAATTGAAAGGAGAAACGTGAATAGGATTGTAGATCTATTTTGGAGATAGACTTGCTGATGTATTTGGATAAGGAAGAAATTTAGCATAGTTCCTAGGGTTTTGATTTGAGTCCGTGGGTGAATACTCTTTGGTTTATTTACTGAGTTGAGGAAGAATGCAGGAACAATAGGTTTGGATAAGGGGAACAGTCAGTAGGTCCATTTTGGACGTAATTGCTTTGAGATATCAATTAGGTATCCAAGTGGAGGTGTTAGGTTGATTTATGTGTGAGTCTGAGAGATTAGAGAGCAAATATAGACTTAGGAGTCAGTAGCATATAATTAGTATTTCAAGCCATGATACTGGGTTTTCAATACTAGACAGACAGCATTCATAAGAGAAGAAGATACGGGATTGGACCCTGAGGTAGGGTAAAGCCTACAAATGTACTATTACTCTGTAGTACTGGAGGAGGTACCAAAGGTAGGGAGAAGCTTAAAAAATAGGTAAATAATCTGAGAAGCGACAACCAGTGAAATAGAAGGAAAAGCACTAGCCTACTGTCACGTGATTCAAGAGAAAAGAAAGTATGTACAGAAGGAGAGGTGTGATGGATTGTGTCAAGTTCCACTAGGCTTGCGGAGAAGTGTCTGTGAGGCTTTGTGGGGTGGTAGAGCTCATTGGCTGGTCTTACATGCAGTTACAGCAGATGAGTGTGGGTTAAAGTGTGAGTGAGAGACGAGGAAGTAGAGATGAAGAATGTAGATCATTTTCCAGAAGTTTTACTGTGAAGGATAAAATGGGGCAGTAGCTGAATAAGGGTAAAGAGAAGGTTTTTTTTAAAGGTGTGAGCTCTTAGGACTTGTTTTTATCTTCTTGGGATTGATCCAGCAGAGGGAGAGACTGAGATACAGAAGATGGGGGCTGGACGGGAGTGGTTAAAATAAACACAAGTGCAGTGTCCTTGGTAAGGCAAACGAGGCAGACAAGTAGAATTGGCTTTGAAGGAGCCAGAAGGAGTCTCTTTGGCAGGAGGGAGGACAGAGATCGTAACTACTAGTGCAGGTAAATTTGTATATTTGGTGGCAGAAGATGAGAGATTTCTTGTGTTAGTTTATAGATTTATACTATTTGTTCGCTTGTTTGTTTACTCATTCATTCATTTGCAGAAGCATAAATAATCTGAGTGGAGGACTACACAAAATTGGTGTGCAGGAAAGGTACAGATCATTCTGCAGAGGGTTATTTCCCTAAGGTAAATGCATTGTCAGATGGAAAGGTAATGCTCTAGTCAGGATAGCTGAGAACAGAGAGAGATGGGTGTATAACCTGAGGGACAAGCCAGATGCAAAACTGTAGAATGTGTGACAGGGCACTGGTATGGGAGGTCTAGACAAAGAAGGCGGCAGCTAAGCCTCACAGGCCAGTTGCAAAAGGAACATGTCCCTTTTACACATTGCTGGACACGGCTGCATTATACACAGTACAAAGCTTTGTGCCCTGGTTCATTCATGTATTCATTCAGTCTGCAAACAGTTACTGAGTATCAGAATGATCCAACCCTTTCATCTACTTTTAGCATTTGTTAGAAGATATTTAAATTTATGAGAATGATACAATTCCTTCCCATACTTTACATGTTACTGACTTCCTAGGTGTAACTGGAGCTTTTAAAAAATATATGTTAGGAAAATATCATCTATATACTCAGATAGATTTAATGAGAAGTTTTCACTCAATTTAGAATTTTTATCCCCCAGGAAAAGTTAAATTAGTACTTAAAAGAATCCATAAATTATATTTGAAAAATAAGTATCGAATGTTAACATTCTGCATTCATGAACCAGGAGAGGATAGATGGAAGTGTGCCTGTAAGGAGATCAAAGGGACCTTAGAGTTTACTGTGTGCCCTCTAAATATAAACTTACATAGTAGGTACTGTTGAGAGTTGGACTTTGGTTGAAATGCACCAGTTTTTTGTTTGTTTCTTTTTTTAATGTAGATATAAAATAACTAAGGTTACCTATATGGTATATTGATTTATCACCACACTATTGCCTTTATTATTAATTCATCAAGACATTTTGGATTTTAGTACCTTGAAAGTGGAAGATAATCGTTAATGTAAGGCTATAGATCTTGCTTTCCCTTTGCCTTCTTATCGGTCGTTTGGCCGTTTCACGGCTTGTTAACTATTACAAGTCCACCTCAGTTCAGCTATCACTTACAATGAATGGTTTGTGGCAAGAGGAGGGATAAATCATTAGTTGAGTTTAGGGGTTACATGTTGTAAAATTCTAGTAGTAGTATTAGCGTCAGAACCTGTCTAACTTCAGGGGGGATAATGAGAGTCACCGTCAGCACAAAGCTGATTCCCATGAGGTGGTCAGACATACCTCCACTCTAACCTTTCTACCAATTCTGACACCAGCCGTCCTCCTCACGGCACTCTCTACTTCTCTGCTGGGTTTGATAATCCATTGCAGTGGTCACACAGAACTCACAGACCATACTTACAGTTAAGTGGTTTATTAAGGAAGTAACAGGGTACAGCTCAGGATCAGGACCAACAGGCTACAACTCAGAATCAGGATCAGGAAGCATGCAGGCAAAGTCTCCCTTCTTCAGGGCAGGACAGCTCTCTTAGCTCCTCTTGGCTGTGCAGGCCTCCTCCCAGCCCCTGCGGAGAGGCTTCCTCTTGGCCCTGCCATCTGTCACCACCGACTCTGCTATAGGGCCCAGTC